AAAAAAAAAAAAAAACAAAAAAACAAAAAAACAAAAAACAATGTACAATTACAGAATCCACTCACTTTGAATATTGCCGGGCGATTTCATCTCATTGAAGTTAGGCTTGATGTCCGGATTCGGACTGATGTAAGGCGGCATACTGGTGGCGGGTGTCAACGGTGGCGTCGGATTACCGGGGATGGGACTGTGCTGATAATTCATGTTACCTCCGTTTGTCGACCTCATCGATGCTACATCCTGCTGATACTGACTGGTCGCCACGCCCGAAGCGCCGTACGACGCATTCCCACCATATCCTACTCCCGTATTTTGCTGATGGCCGACGAATTGGTTACCGACCGAAGTAGGGGGAACCATACAAACCCCCGAAACGCCATTATTTCCATAACCATATTGGCTCGCTGCTGCCGTCTGAGAGGGGGTGTTGTAAGCCGGTGCCGTTTGCCTCATATTCGCTCCTCGTATCATCGCGTTGGGTCCGAAACCAGCCCCTGTGGGATTCATGCTCTGCATGGACTGATACTGCTGTTGAAAATTCGGCCTCGCCCCGGTGGGATAGGCGTTCGGATAATTCGGCGCTGCCGTCATGCCGTTGAAGCCCTGCTGCATAGCCGTAGGGTTCTGAGCGGGATACGGAACTTGCTGTCGCTTTTGCGCCATGTGCATGGCTGGGTTCGGATAAGGCGCTAATCTTCGCGGATAGCCTTGATGCGATTGAGCCTGGAAGCAAAGGTGTATGCTATTATCAGGAAAAACAGACAGACGCGTGCCTTTCGTCAGCCGATTGGCAAATACATATTTGTCGAATTAGATGTAATTATGACGCAATAAGTATGAAATATTTACATGGGATAAATAAATTTGATTTGGTAAATAAGTATTGGTATTTAACAAATTGTAGCGGAACTTAAAGAGACGCAGCTAAATAAGTTTAGATTGCCATGTTTGGTATTAGATAAGTACCTGCATTTTGTTCATTTGCATGTTATTGGGTCCCATCATATTGTTCATGGCTACGTTGCCCATGTTGCTCATGGAGTTCATGGGTGTCATTCCACTCATAGCATTCATACCGCTCATACCGTTCATACCGTTCATTCCTCCCATTGTCATAGGATTCATCGTGTTCATGCCACTCATACTGTTCATCGAATTCATGGAATTCATAGTGTGCATCGGGCTCATTGTGCCTATGCCGTTGAAGTTGTTCATCCCGACTGGCCCCATTCCTGCCATTGGTCCTCTTTGGCCATACCCCGCCACGGGGTACGTTTGGTGGGGTATTCCATGTTGGCTCTGCATCTAATAATAACGATTGACGTGAGTTCTCTCACTTAGAAGTCCATAAAGTTTCAAAGAAGTAAAAATAATTCATGAAAGGAGCCAAATATCGTACGTGTATCTTACGATGTATTTTACAAGGACTTATGAGATTTATTTTTGAATGACTCTTTTTTTATTTGATGTTTAATGTCTCACGTCAACTGTAAACTGTAATAAAAAAAAAATATATATCCGTTTAAAAAGTGATTATTAAAAAAATGATAAAAAAATAAAGTTGAAAAAATTGTTAAAAATTGAAAAAATTAACTTAACTAATCATCAATACAATGAAACATTTTAAATTTGTAAATTATTTCTCCCATTAAATATAAAATGTCGAACGCAACGAAAGTATGTCGTTATAGGAACACTATATGTATATAAACGACTAAAGTAAAAAGAACTTAATCGTATGATACTTTCACGTATGAAAATTTCAAAAATCAATCAAATGTGAATTTTCTCTTTTCATTTATCTTTTTTCATTTGTTTTAACACGATCGCGAAAAAAGAACGAATAAAAAAAAAAAAACAACGTATCAAAGATCGTATCGTTTTACCAATTCGCGTCGCGAATACTTACTTACTATAACCGGCTAATATGATAGCAGTCTATGTAACGTATGAATCAGAATTCCCCCTGGTCGCGCGCCATTGATAACGTCATGAGAGCTAGTCAAACATTTACCTGATTGAATTGCGAGGGGATGTCCTGGCGGTCCTGCATGGCCACCACGCTGGCAGTGGCGGTGGCCGTAGCGGAGGCAGCTGCTACCATCGCCGCGACACGAAGTGGCGAACCACCCCTTCCGTTCTGGGGTGGCACTGTGCTATGATAGCCGGATGATAACGGCTGGGCTCCGACGCCGCCGATCGCCGCCGTAGCTGATAATGTCGCGCCACCACTCGCCGACCCCCTCGGGAGGACGAGAGAGGAGCCTTTGCTTTTTCCACCGCGAACAGCCTTCACGAGATAGATGCGAACGCGCGGCTTATTGGCGCACTGAAACAGAGAGTGTGACTCATCTTAACCCTCCGTGAGATAAAATTATCTTTTTGGAGAATCGCGGCGCGCGCTCGCGGCGATGCTCGCGGTGATCGTTATAGAAATAACTGTGCGCGTTAGAGAGTGAAACTGCGGAGTTGGCGGTATCGGACGAGTGGCCGAGGTGTGACGCAAGCCGTATCCGCGATCCGAGTCTATATTTCAGTCCCTTTCGGGACCGTTAATACACACGATAAATACGATCACTTCGAGTGTACAAGCTCGATGTGTAAATAATAGACGACTGAGAGGAAAAAAAAGAAAGAAAAAAAAAAACATAAAATTCAAAAGATTATAAAATTCAATCGTTAGATCGAAATATTGGATTTTTATTTGCCAAGTTTTTTTTTTTTTTTTTCGTAGACACTTGATTAATAAATGAAAATCGCCGCGAAAACACGAACATTTTCTTCTCGTGAAATGTAAAGCGTTCGTTGAAAATTTTTACTCTTTCTCCATGTGTGTCTCGCGATGCGAAAGGAGGATATAAGGTGTTTAAAATAATAATGTATGTACTCGGCACAGCCATCGCATATTAATGAGGAAAAGCTATCGATTAGTCCATTGAATATTAAGTAATATAATAACTCTTGCAGACTGTCAGTTAATATATCGTCTGAGATTATTCGAAGCGATCGGGCGAATTGCAACGATATAATGCGCAATGAACGATAATACATCGTCAATCATACTGGCAAGAGTTAATTCGGTTTAAATGGCAGTGTGAACTTTTGCATTTGCGACAGAAAAGTGGTTACCACTCGCCAAGTCAAGATCATACTCGTGCAATCGATTCCCGCTAGGAACGAATAGATTTCTGCCAATCGATATATAGTCTGTGTTTGGCGTATTTGCAACGGATCTTTATTTCATAATATGCGACGTAGTAATAACACACGACGGAATCATTCACGATACTTGAATAATTCGAGAAGGTCACATTTTTTGCCCGGCGTCGCGAATAAATTTGAGCCCACTGACGGTTATACAATAAAAATCGAAGATTTCGAAGACAAAACGAGATTCCTACGATTATCTCCCGAATCCGAGAGAAAATTCACTCCGATTGCGTTCGATACCATGCACGTCGATACCTCATTTTATTCTAAAACCGTGAGAATGAAATAAATAGCAAAGATATTGATCGATTTTCCATAATTTATAACGTAATAACGTAATTTTATAGATACACATAGATGTAATTAAAGAAATGTCCATTTTCTTATACTTAAAGAAAATGTTTCTTAGGAAAAAATCCCTTTTAAGAATAAATTACTTAAGAATAATCAATTATAAAGTAATAAATTTTCATTACATTATATACAATTAGAAAAGTATTTATTTCACTTTATTTTTATCTTGTCGCTTTTAATCGACTTTCCTGGCGAGTGGCGATCGGCTATCTATTACGGAAAAAATAATTTTACTGAAAAATCTGAAAAAAAGTTTGGTTAGATTTGAAAATAATTTTATCGAGTTTTCAAAATTATTATATACAGCGTTCAAATTGACTCACTAGATCACTAGAAGATAAAAAATTTTTGCGGTACTATTATTATCATATTTAAGTGTTCCACATAATAATCTTGATGATTCAAAATTATTTTCAGATCTGTATCTAACCAGATTTGTAGATCTGCCAGCAAAACTGTCCTCCTGCCCATACGTCCTCCTCTCTTCTAATTCATCGTGGCGTTAATTGCGGACGATAATCCGTTCAAAGTGAACAAAATTACGGCGCCTCTTTGAAGGTGGCCGTTCCCGATGCGTGTCCCGAAAGGCGAGGCGAGGCGAGGCGAGAGCGGTGCCCGAACCCCGGCCGTATTCCCAGCTGGCCGCGACGCCGCGGCGCGTAGACCCCATTGCTTTTCTGTGGGAAATGCACGTGCTCGCTATTCACACACCGCACCGCGCCGCGCCACGCCACGCCACGCCGCGCCACGCCGCGCCGCGCCGCGCCGCGCCGAGTCGCCGCCGCGTTCATAATACGTGCCT